AGCACACTTGGAGAATGTCATCGCGACAGTTTCGCGTAAGACAATGCTAGTCTATATTGATATATATAGAAAAGAGAGATCGATTTGGAAAGAGGAGAGTGAAGATCCCATCACTTTAGGTTCTAACCCATGGTACTAACTGACTAACGACCTTTCACGGTCCACTGCACACTACTGAAGTAATTAGCTGCGCTAACGAGAGATCGTTATGGCCAACCGCAGAGCTGCGGAAAAGGTGGCGATCTGTCCTTTGCGATGATCAATCGGCGGCATTATTTCACGCTACGTATCTCAGTCTATAATACTAATAACAGTCTAATATTCATTATTTAACTAAACGCGCGCGCTAGTAGAGATTCATGCTATTAATATTACATGTTGCATGTTAATAACTGTGAGAAACCGCTATCTCAAAGTTAAGGTACTTTCTTTCTCATTTAAAAATTTGCAAATCACGAGGAGCTTCCGAGATGGTAGCAAAGACACCTTTTTTTAATGAATGTACACCTCTGTTAAAAGATTCACCCACGTTATGCAGTGCATTCGGAGCTCTGGACCGAAAAGATCAGAGGATTCAGAGATTTTAGAATTCTGTACCGTAAAATGCGCGTATCTGCTCATGGTACACGCATATCTATCTGTACGCATACTGAGGGAGAAAAAGAGAGAGAGAGAGAAGGAGTGACAGACACGCAGAGGGAAAACGAGCGAGTGGGTGGATGCCTCGGTATTGTAAAGAGCCCTAGGTTCTGTATGCACTTCGCGTTGTAAACTCCGCCGAACTCCCCTGCTCTCTACGACGTAGAGGACCGACGTCGAGGGGCGGGAGAGAGGGAGGGAGGGTGGATGGGAGAGCGGCCCGGTACATGCCGAAGACGCATTAATATTAATGTACCGGGATTTACTGCGACACGGCTGCTCGAGCCCCGTAGGATAGGGATGTATGTTTACAAATGCGTTTCTCAACGTGTGCCACCACCCCCGATCTGCCTCCATCTGCTCGCGTTCATCCTGCACGCGCGCGCGGTAGGCGGCTTTTGTCGGCGGAAGTGGCGAACGGGCAAACTTAGACTACTCGCGTCTTGCGGATCCGACCCCCGGTTTCCGGTGTGCGTTTGCTTCAGAAGCGATTACCGGTGGTCGTTAATGCGCCGGGGAGGTACAGGCATGCCGGGTTTTGTACCATTTTGGCCACTAAGCTTCTCCTGAATGCAATGCTGGGTTAGCTGCTTGAAAGCGCTAGGGCTCGTTATGCATATCATCGAATAGGTAGATTAGCCCTGTTAATTGAAAGACGAGATAAGTCGTGGGTGAAAAGCTTAATATTTGAATTTTAAGTATCGGGAGTCTATAGAATTTCCTCCGAATACTTAAAATGCAAAGACCCGGAAGATCAGGAAGGAAGAATAAATCCGAAGATCCGAGAATCTATCGGTACGACGGATCCGCGGAGTCGAAAATTTCAAAATCCCTACGATTTCTATATAAGATATAGAAATCTAAACGTCGGAGAAAAGTAACATAAAAATTCATGTATCTAAAAATATGTAACAAATATGTATTTCCGAATATTAATTCATCAGCAATCAAAATACCGTCATTATGTGAAATTGTAATAAGTAGGATGTATCTAAAGGTGCCAATTCATGAGACGCTGAAAATGAGCGTCAACAAGGTAAACGTGGTGGTTTCGCTTTGACGCTAGCGTCAAAGAAATGAAGTTGAATTTGTTTAATGTTCAGCGTCGTCGCTGAATCGTCGTTAATCGTCCTAGTACAATCAAACATAGACTTCGAAATACGTAAAATATTAATTATTTTCAAGTAATATCTTCAAGTAATAATATTTTATGGATACATATATAAATAAAAGATATTATTTCTGAAGATTTTTACTTGCTAAAAATGAGCGTCGAGCGTTAACGTGAAAAGGCACCTTAACATGCTTGTTTTTATTTTTTGGATCGTAAAATAGCGTCTCGTGCGGTATTCGCGAGTGTTATGTTAAACGAATTCTCTTAATTTCGCGCTATAGTTACGTGCCCCCTGAATTCGCTTGCATCAAGAGAAAGGCAGAAAGAGTAGGACGAGACTCTGATGGTTTTTTTCCGTTGAGATCAAAATCGTTGGATGACAGACAGTTAATCAGGCCGACCGCTCCAGTTAGCGAAAACAAAAGCGGCGGGACCCACCCACGCGAAAGGCTTAGCGCTAAAAAAATAACAGCCCGTCGCAGAGGTGATAAAATGATGATAAAACGCGTTCACAGTTTGTCACGAATATATCCACGGCTCTTAGCCGAGGTAGAAAGAAGTGACACGGAGATAGCTATTAGTACGCGATTTGGTGCCGAATTATTCGCGCGCATGAATGATTTTACTACCGCAGACAATTACTTGAGAGAAAAATAACTTGCAATTCTTGAAGTGATCTATTCGAATGTACTGACAGATATACATATATAGAATTAGACTTTTTGTATTAAAAATTTTAAATTTTTGGATCCTTAAATTTTAAAGCTATTTAGTTCTAGTAGTCCTATATATATATAAAATTCTTTAAAGTCTTGAATCTCTCTAGAATTTTCATTTAAATAAACAAATTTATTTTCGTAATTGACAAATGTGAAATAATTATTTAGAAATAAATTTAGTTTATTTTTTAATTGAACTTATTTTATTGTGAGAAGAAATAAAAAGGGAGAGAGAACAGGGCGAAGAAAATCGATGTAAGAAAATGTCGTGCAAGGGATTCGTTGGGAAGTAATTAAAAATTACGTGCCGTTCATGGAGGATTATGGCCCGGTGAGAAAAATGGTAAACGTGAGGGACCGTCGTAGGGAGTGTCACGAGCACTTAACTTTTCTTTTCATGGCCGAGTTTGTTTCGTCTTTAAGGAGCGAGCGAGCTTCCACGCGGCGATGGCCGCGTACGAGAAACCCGAGGGCTGTGAGAGCCGTAATTGAGGGTCGACGCCCTGAGGGACCTCGAGACCTCGTATACTAGGAGCTTTCCCAACCTTGGCACTTCAAATTGCGCGATCCTTCGATTACGGAATACGTAAATCGCGACGTTAGAATTCCTATTTGCATTCGGGGGGAGGGGGAATCATTGCGCGTTTGTATACGCGAAACTAGTGCCTCCTAGAGTGTAAACTTGTCGCGATGGAGAATTGATATATTCGCGCTTCGCTAGAAGTGTATATAATTCAATCTATTTTCCGCGATACTTTCATTACGTATTATTCTCGCAATAGCGAGTGCGAATCGTGCGTTTGCGTATTAATAACTAAATATTTCTCTCTCGTACAAACAAACTGTTTATTCGTTAGTCAAACATTTACCAAACTCCAGGCGGAAAAACATATTTCTAATCGATTAATTCTGCATCGTCGATGCCTGGCTCCGAGCGATGCAGTCCCATCTCGTCAACATATTTTGGAAGGAACACGCGTACATTATCAGCGACACGTTGTTCCGGCGAGCCTAAGTCAGTTGAAGAGGCGTGTATTTGGACTGCTCTAATTACCTGGGCGGATTCGGACGAACTTAACGCGAGTCCGCTTGTACAAACGGAGAGAACGGGACAATACCGAAGTTTCGGGCAAACCTTCGCGTTTATATTCGTGATCAGGATCTTTCCTTAATCCGCGCTGTGCCTCAAGTGGTTTCGAGAATTGGTCCAAGTCCACTCCACTCAGCAAATACCCCATGAACTTCTGTTGGAGTTGGCAATTATATCGCCCGGAATTCGATCGCGTTGCATCTCTCTCTCTCTCTCTACCTCTCACTATCTTTCTCCCTCCCTCTCTCTTTCTCTCTTATTTCGTGATATAAGACGATATAATGAACCTGTAGTTAGCCACGTTAAATCGTAAACTAATAATAATTCTCCGATAATAGTTCATCTTCAATGAGGAACGCGAGTCATCTTAGAATTTATTGCTGAACTTTTAACGATCTGACATTTTATGCGTTCCAGTCTTTATTTCTATAGCGCAAATTTATTTATATCTTTTATATGCGGAATTTAGTTGAAAACGTAAAAAGTGAGAACTTTATCCAGGAACATTGAGTACAATCCAGCTAACTATTCAATCTTGTAGCGGTATTCCTTTAAATTATAAGTTATAGAGCTTACAAACTCAGCTTACGCTCCGAAAAATGTAATTCAATTCACTTACTTAACTCGTCTAGACTAAAGAATGTAGCCACATTATCTTTACTGCCGGTATACCGCGAAGAAAGGCATTCCCATCAACGATTGCGAGAAACTTTGTTCGACCACCATCGGTTCAAACAACGAATCATATTAAATCCTGAATTGTAATCAAGAACTTTATCCAACGGGTCTCTTATTATTTGACCTACTTCGCTCTTTTTACCGCTGATTCGAGATTAACATGAAATTAAAATTTATTTGGCGAGATAAGAGTATAAATACGATACGCTCTGTTCATTGGGATAATTTTTCCTTTATACCAAAATTTAATTACACGCTAAATTTTTAATTTTCCGCAACAAAAAAGATTTTAACGTTGAAGTTTGGCTAATTATATTTATTAAAATAAGCTCCGTTTATAAAATTAATTGAATAAGATATTATATAAATACAATTAATCTTTTAATCCAAAATCATTCGTGTTTCAGATCCAAAGTTCTTGAGGAAAGACCGTTATCAGCTTTCGACACGCGCCATCGTCACGCACGCCAAATGCGCGCCCATTACCGAACGCAACCTGTTTGATATTCAATTTCCGTTTGGAATTTTATCTCCACGAAAATCGGAGCAGCTGTATCAGGTCGAATTAAAGTGTCATGATCAACGAGCGCGCGGCGCGGCGCGGCGCGATCGCGGCATAGGAAAAGGCGGGTGACGTCACGTGTTCTCGGCGGTCGCACGCGCGGGAGGGGTGCGTAACAGTGGTGGGGGTAACTCGGCTGCGGGCAGGCCATGCCGAAGACTCGTTGCGGGTGGTGGGGTGTAAGAGGGGTCTAGGCATGGAGAGGGCGCAGTACCGCGCTATCCTCCGTATCGTTGACACGTCGAGCGGAAAGAGTGCGAGAAGGAAAAAGATCGAGGAGGGAAAAGTGAAGGAGAGACGGATCGCGCGATCTCTTCGCGCTCGCTCATCAAATCGACACTCGCGTTAATCGTCCTCGTGCGTGAATAAATAAATTTATCTGTCCCGATTACGGTGTCCGTCCGTGGAGAACTTCCGGCCTGCGACGTTTCCGGAGCGGCCTCGCGAACGCGTTTCAGTGGCGCGAAGTTGACTCTCTCTCTCTCCCTCTCTCTCGCCTTGTGTACTCTCGATGATCTATCGGTGAATCGATCGTCCGGCGCAGATCATCCGGGGAGATCGTCCGCGTGGCGCGTGGTGAACGGTTGTTATTCGCGAGTGAATTTGGTGAAATTGTCCCGTGTGCCTATATCCCGAGGGAGCTGCGCCCGGCTGCGAGGGACGATGCTGGCATTCCTGTTCGCCGCGGCGCTCGCCGTCGCGAGGATCCACGCTAGCCAGGTGACCATGGACGCCAAGATACGCGACGACTCCGACTTGTCCCAGGTAAGAAAACGTCTTCGCCATATATATATATTAAATTGCGCGTTCCCCAAATGCCATTGATTCAGCCGGCGCGGCGCGACGTATAACGTCGCGGATATGCGCCACGACTACCTACCCGCGTGTCCTTGAACCGTTACGCTGCGCTGGAGCGACCGTGCGCGCGAGAGTCGCGTTTAAATGAATAACGAACGTGTGCTGGTACAATAATACTGAATGCGGCAGAAAATTTCAATGCAGAGAGCTCGTCGCATGCAGCCGCGCGATGATTGTGCAACGTGTTCCGTGGCATCGTGAAACGCAGCCGATTGCCTGTCATTAAGAATTGTCTTTTCCATGAGAGAATCGTTTGCAATCACCTCGATCGCCTTGGTGATTTTCTCACTCGGCGTCCTTTTACGCTTTTCTTTCCGTCCTGCGTGTTATTTCTATCGGGAAATATTCAGTAAATGAACGTGGCTATGAACGTGACAAAAGCAAGAAGTATTCGCGCGAGTCATTGTATTAAATTAACGCGATCGATATTCAGTTACAATGGGGCGAATGATTTTTCTAACGAGATAAAAAGCGTGTTCGCACAAATGTTACCGTCAAAATCATCAAAAAATGTCGAAATGTCAGATAGTGATATATTTTTTTCGACGTTCTCTCTGCATATATCAAATTTTAATTTTAACGATGAATAAAATATCGATGCGAGCAACAAGAAGCTTTCAAAAAATTAAAAAAAAGATACATATGTGTGTCATTTAAATTATTTTACTACTAAAATAGCAAATGTGAATATTGAAATGATGAAAACCGAACGTAATTAGATCTGCTTTTTACTTTTTTGTAACTTAATTTTTCTATATTTTCGGAATTTTGCGCCAATTCCATTATTTAGAACTGTCGCGCGCACAATTTTTTTTAGAGAGCTGCAGAAAATCGATTATGTTTTGGAGTGACACTTCTGTCATACGTCACGTCGCTCGATTTTTTTCCGCATCAGATTCACGGTTCGACATGATCGGTGGAGCTGCCCACTCAGCGATACTTGTTCATTTCAACGTCATTTAATCCTTCCATATCCAACATGAGATCAGCGATGACTGCAAATCCAATTTTTCGTATCGAAGTGGCTGAATCTGCTTGTTGTTGTTTCATGTGTTTAACTCTTATTTATCGTTGATTTTGGAAGCAATTAATCGTCGAGTATTATGACTGTAGCAATAAATTGAGAAAATTCAGTGACAGTAAATTGAGTAACAGTAAATTAAAAACACAGATGATTTGAGAAACGAAAAATGACGGAAAGATTTAAAATCTTGAAAAGACGAAGAAACGCAAGAAAAATTATAAGGGTTTGAATCTGATCTCATCTTGAACAATTATGTAAATACTCTCGCGGATAATCGAAAGTTTGAGAATTCCGAATGGAGCTTCGCTCCGCGCGTTTTCTTTCTGCGCGCTCGAAATTTCGGAGTAATTTGCGTAGGTGGTCGGTGCATTTCGCCCAGGTGGTAAACCGATCGCCGGGTTTAACGATGTATGCAGTCGTGAGAACTTTTCCGGGTGGGAACAGGAGGGCGCAGGAACGGATGACGGGGGGAGCGGAGAAGGGCAGAAAAGTTTGTAAATCGGGCGTGCGAGATGTTTCTAACTCGGTTGAATAATGTATGAAACCGGCGGTTATTTACTTCATTAACTTCTTCCACGTGGCCGTAATTAAATTGCGCGAAAGGAAAGTTGCGAAACGGGCGCCTAACTCTCATTAGCCTGCATTTTTTTCCCATCCTTATCCGAAATTCATGGCGATCGCGTAAGTTGCGTCGCCATTCATCTCCCCACGAATCTCTCTTACGATAAATTACGATAAATTTTCGCACGGTAAAGAATGGAAGTGTCGCACGATCTTTCGACAGGTGCTTCGGATTTTGATTATCGGCATCGGCGTAAACGCGGGTAAAAATTTGATGGCGCGACAACGTTAAATAACGTTCGAATACTTAATAAATCGCGGATAATGGAGCGAGTAAAAGAGAATTACCGGAGCGAATGTCAGCGTCGCTGCACCGCGCATTTTTTACAGTGTCATTAATTAACACGATAATCCAATAACGTCGCGTAAATTTAGTCGTAAACGTCATGACGGTGCGGAAAGCCGTTACGATTTAACGATCCACGCAAAATAAGAAGAGGCGCATTATCCTCGTTACATTCGCTCGTAATTCGATTATAAACGCGGAGCTGCGCGGCCAAATAGTTTCCGCTGCGGCGCGGCGGATTGATCTCTGCATGTGAATCATCGCGATATGAATCATTAGAATCAACCATCGATGAACGTTTGTATGGCTGTTTATTTCCTCATCTCTCCTGCACGAGATGAGTCACAAGTTATTTCGTCGAAATGGAAATTAATTTAACGTTAAAAATTGCTCTCACAATACGTGAGAGCCCTCGTTTAGCTGATGGCGTTCTTTTTTAGAGAAGGTTGTAAATATACGATGCGGAGTTAGCTTACACGTGGTATATCTTCCATCCACATGCCGGCTCTTTCTCATTACTTCGCCCCCGCTTAGGCGAGGGAACCATGCAGTCCGGCGCGACGTCTACGCCACGAAGCACTCTCACGCACACGCGTGGGAGGTATACGCATGCACACGCGTGCATGCAACGTGCGTCATGGCAGAAGTGGCAACACGACTCCTCTCTCTCTCTCTCTCCGGTCAATGACGTGATTTCAGTTAGACAGAGCTTCGAGGTGCTCCTTTGTCTACCAGTTTCCAGAGGTTCTTGGCCTTTTTCTGCCTAGCCGCGAATAAATCTTGAACATCTTCGCGATTACGATGTCCAATCAGCACGTTCTAGTCGATTAAACCGTTCGGCGGCGAAGCGCGCGGAGATAGACGTTTTCAGTTACTTAAAATCGCCATAGATTAAATAATATAGTAGATTTAGTAGATATTAGATAATTCCTAAGTCAGCAATTTAACACATCAAAAGCATAAAAATTGCATTCTCTTAGACCTTAGGACTTTCTGATTGCGTTTCAATATTATTGGATATTGACTATCTATTCTTATCTCCTTAGGTGTCTTTGATCGGTGATCCATAGTTCTTTTTCGATTTGGATTGAACTCGGGAGAGTGAGTGGCGGGATTAGCTTTACGAGGCGAGTCGGTCGGATCAGCATTTTTCATTACGCCGACGTGCTGAATCACGACGGCCGGTGCGTAGGAGGAAATTCCACTCTATTAAAAGATCTTGTCGACCCACGAGTGTGGGTCATAATCCATAGGTTAAGAGCCCTTGAGCGTAATACCTACGAGCGTGCGATCCGTATTTATATCTGCCGCGCCAGCAACACCTGCTGCCGTCGTCGCGTCGCACGGCGCCGATATGAATGGAGTTGTACGGGACTTAGCGTGAATATTGCACGAAAAAAAGAGTGAAAGGGGCGAGCAAGGCTGCGGCTTGAAGAAACCACGCGGAAGAAACCGAGCGTGAGAGCCGCCGGCGCCGAGAAGCGACGTCGTTCGTTCGTTCGTTCGCCTTTGGTGGCTGAATAACCCGGCCTCGTTTAACGAAGACTCGCTGAGATTGTTATCGGAACCGGCGCGCGAATAACGTTGTTGTCGACGGTTCCGATCGGCTCGTATTCCGCTCGGTCAATTGTATTTGTCGCGTCGCATGCAGCGCGTTGCAGACAGTAGCCGGGTTACCCGCATATCCTACATCTATTTAAAGGAATATTCTCAATGAGAGATATTAAGTGCTATATTCAGACTATCAATATACATTGTGTAATATTTCTGTCAGGAAATTTCGATAATACACAATGAAAAACGTGAATATTCTTTTTGGATATATTTAGAAAAAGTGATGGTTTATAAAAAGAAGTCTTTCTAAATTAATTATCTGATGATTTAAAAAATTAGACTTTTCAAGGAAAATCGAATACTTGAAGCGACGCAAATTTCTTGCGAGTCTCGCGGATCGATTGATTTTATGTTGCGCTTCTCTATGCATAGCGTTATATACGAAAAAATTGTTCACAGGGGACATTAGCTCGCGTACAGACTTTCCGATGTCAGTATTGAATGAAAGCTGGCGCTCGTCCCGTCGACGACATTACAATAATGCGTTTCTTGCTTCTCTCTCCCCGGCGCAACGACGACGGGGCGAACGATTCCGCCCGGCAACTTGTTGCTGCGACAAAAATCGCCCGGACGGTTCTCGCCGGGGGGGTTAGTTTTAGTTCCAATCGATTCGACAAACTATTCCCAAACACGGAGATATCGAGGCCCATTTTCGCGGACTTTATTTAGTCGGTCGATCGACACGGCCACTTTTTTACCAAGCATAGACGTACGGTTTGGCGCGCCCGGCGCCGAAATAAAATTTTACGATTTCCAGGTCAACGCAGCGTCATAATACCCTTGTATTTATAACCCAGCACGTAGCGTTCGCCGTTCTCTCAGTTACACCGATAATTCTTTTGAAAGCGAAAGTCAGTCGTATACTATTACAAATGGTTGACAGTAATTCGAACAAATTGCTATATATGGAATACCGGCGTCTTCTCTCTGTTAAATCGATAACATAGTAGCAGAATGTCAGTTTCGTAGTTTCGATATTAGCATGCCGCGGTTCGTAGATCTGAGAAATACGAAGAATGGAAGAATCTTTCAAGTTTAGTCAAAAGTCTGCAAAAATGAAAGAGCTCCCCCGGAGAGAATTCCGTAATTCGCGGCGAGAGAGAACGGAAAAAGACGTATCGGGAATAAAAGAACGGGGGAGGGGAAAGAAATACCGGATTCATATTGCCTTCACCCTGCTGCAAGATACTTAGCTTCCGTGAATCATGTAATCGGACCGCTGCCTCGTCGTGGAAATCATCGGAAATCGACGCGCTGCGCGAATATGTACCTTCGCCACGGTCGAACGAAGGTTGCAAATAACCGGTTTCGTTCCTCCTTCGCCAGCGAGGGAAGACCCGAGAATTAAGAGAGCTGGTTGAT